CGAATAATTTTACGCTAGAAGCTCCCCGAAACGTTCCACCACCATTGTTAAACAAATTTCGAAACTCTATGAGAAGCTCTAACAAATAGACTGGAACAACGGGGAAGCTGACTTTCTATCAGGCACATTGAGAAACCAGAGGAGGAGTATTCAGTGTCGCGGTGGATACTTGTTCCTTTCTGAATGATAAAAAGAGAGAGACAGAGAAAAAGTGTGGTTCATTTGTTAATCAAGCAAGGCACCGATAAGGGTCGTTGGCTGGTGACCGCGGTGATTTTCTATTTCGTTGCGTCAAAGAAAATGGAGTGACAGTATCGCCGGAACTCCGAGTGAATACGTCTGCGAATTAGCAAGGAACGGGCTGGGCACTTTGCGCAGAGTCACTTTCCCATTCCCTTTTCTCTCCCTTCTGCCTTTTGCACGCTCGCTGCCCCTCAATGCGACTGCACCCGTCCATGGAGTACATATCTCGGCACGTTCCTCCATTATTCATGACATTATTTTCCACCTCGATAACTAACACGATCGGCTTTCCGGGAATCCCACGGCTCGCAAATCCGTCCGCGGTCCGGCCGCACCGGCTGAAAAATTTATACCGCTCCGATGTATCTTGCTATGTTTGCGCGCTTTCAATCCTGAAACTCGCTACTTCCGTATTTTTCTTCTACACTTTTGCTAGTGAGGAAGAAGAGCCCTCGGAAAAAATTGGTTTGTAATTTTATTTGCGTTGAAATGAAGTAGTAGAGTAACATTTTTATTCAGCCGTTGATTTTTAATCTTATTTCGAATAAATAGGAAAGTGGTTGCAATCATGTGGAGAAGAAAAATATTTTTCTTTTCTTTTTTAACAACGAAAGAACAGATTTCATGTGATTTTCATCGCGTGTATTCGGAGAAATTGAAGATAATTCTTGGTATTTTCGAGATATTCGCGCAATCTCTATTCGAGTGGTTCCACGATCGAATCCGATGGTAAAACTGATCGCGCGGAAGGCGTGCAGCCCGCAGCGCTGAAACAAATGCGTGATACATTCGAACGAAAACCGGACGAAGTTGTGGTGGATGCGACGCGACGGGAGCATTGAAAACAGGGCCAGACAATAGCTGGAAAACTTATAATACGTATATGGCGGCTTAGGAAACCCCCAGAGCTGGGAATCTGAATAGAAGCGAGCCGTAGAAATTCATAGAAAACGCGCTTCACGCGATGTAACGTAACCGACAGACTGCCGCGGAAATTGTTTTTCGTGGTAAGCTTTCCGTAATGGAATTAAAATCAACGCAGGTATCACGCTACGTACTGTCTGATATTTGCAGTTTGTTGAATATTTTCTAGCATTTACCTTCATCCAAACTACCTTTCCAAATACTACGTGTCCAGAAAAGTATGTATGAGGGTGAATCAATATATAAGTTAATCCTTACCTCTAAAAGAAAAAAATGAACGAATGAAGAAAATCTCTTTTATTACCAACGTAAACTGACAGTCAGCTACTACTTTTCAGCATAATCACCGAGTATCTGCGCAAACACTTGTCGCAACGAGGAATCTATTTTCGAATTCTCAAAAAATTTCTGTCTGATTTTCCGATTTTTTAAGATTATGTTAACGATACGAAACAATCATTTAGTTGTATAGTTGCACGCTTACAGTATGCCATACGACAGGGATAAAATCTCTGGTTCATTGGTGTTAATTTACCTAAGCGTTCTTAGGTAATGGAGCGTGGAATACGCCGTGTTAGCAACCTTGGAAACTAGCGACAGTCTGGCAGATGCCATCCAGTTAGAAGCTACCGGCTATTATCGAAGCGGCGTGATCAAAAGCCCATTGATTTACCGATGCACCGAAATACATAGTTTACACTCGAACGAATACAGGAGGCCTTTCTCTTCTAAAGAGACTATCCTCTGTCCTCTACTTGATACTCGAAGACCATCAGGCTAACGGGTTTATCACGGTTGATGGCTCACTCAAATCAAGTTAGAACAAGAATTCAACACTTATTTTAATCTATACTGTATCCTCCATCACACAGAAGGAACAGGAATTATACTGAGATATAGCAGACTGAATGACAGAGAAGAATGTTTGGGCCGAGTGCTTGAGATTAGGGTGTGAAAGAAAAATGTACGGTCACCCAAGGTTTTAGGTGGATATGACCGAATATGTCCTCGGATTGTCTGTTATACGCTACCGGAAATAGGTGCATGAAACAATTGTTTCTTGTAGCATAAACTGCGCAAGTTGAGAAAAAAAGGTTCACAACTGACAAGAGTTCAAAGTTAGCACTGACACGCTGCTTCAAAGTAGCATAACTGTCTCAATTCTTCGTCATTTTTTTAAAATTCTTTCTGCATCTTCTTTTATACACTCGAAATGATCTAGTAATGGAAAACAATGTTGATTTTAAACTTCGAAGTACTCAGCTCTCCCCTTGGTAAACTAGAAAGACACCCTCCACCCTGTTGTAACATCTTTGACTTTGGCAGAGAATAAAGTCACTATTTTGTGCAATAGGATAAAAAAAGGCTTAGCGAACTTGTGGTAAAATCCAGAGTAGTTAAACTCCGTGAAGTTTAAAGTTACAGGTTGATCGATCGTACGTGAAGGAGGGGGCAGTGGCTTGTAATTTCCGACCAAACTCCGAGGAACCAAAGAAAATTAATCGACTATAGCTTCAGGCTGACCTTTCAAGGTTCCGATCTCTTATTTTAGTCGAACAATCAAAGCTCCTCTCGATTAAAAAGGACTATCAGTGTTGTAAACCGCCGCAAATATCCCATGAAGAAGTTTATTCTTCGAGTAACATTCCCCCTTTTCTTTGCGTCTAATTCTTCCCTTACGTTGTATTTGTACACAGCTCTCGGCAACAGCTACACGGAAGAAGGGTTCCTCTTCACGAAAAAATAAATGTTAGATATATCTATTCAAATTTCGCGCCTTCTGCTAGCACCAGTTGTGACTCGGGAAGGAAAGCGTCACTTCCCACTACGATTCTTTTTACGATCTACTCTGTAGACATCCATTACGAAATATATAAAATAAAACCAATGTCATTTTAAATAAAGCAAAGTTTATTTTTCTTAGTTCATCAATAAGCCTATGTCAGGAAACAATCTAACGACACATTAAACAGTGAATTTTCAATTAAAAATTCACCAAATGTCAGTTACTTGTAATTCCTCCGATTTTATTGGATCTGTTATGAAAATATTTAAATAACCTTTTGGAGTTTCTGAATAGAACCTGTTTATATAGATTATATCTCATGCGCGTCCAAATTATATCAATATTTCGAAAAGGTATTACACAATGGAGTTGTATAACAATATTGTACACTGATATGCGAGTCTATTATGCTATTAATATTGATATCTATTAGGGCGTTACCGATGAAATTTCGCGAATAAAGCGATAATTAATTAATTAACTCAAAGTGGAGATGAAAAGTGTGATGGAGGGAAAAGAGGAAAAGAATCTCTATTTCGCTGGAATTAATCAATTGTTTGTAATCTGAAAGACGTTTGGTATTGATGCATTAAAAATTCAATTGTCCGGTCGAATAGGTGCACACCTGTGGAAAACGCCGCGGAATCCTAACAGATTGAAAAGCTGAACGAGCGTTATTTGATTGACGGGTGCAGATCCAATTTTTTCAATAACATTTCTGTATTTTTTCCTAACATGTTCGAACCGCGCGGATTTAATTAGATAATGTGACAAACAGACCTAAACAGAAGACAAAGATAACGTGGAATGATGAGAAACGTTAAGTGACAACCATGCAAACTATTTGAATAAATTAAAAAAAATTTTTAAAAAATAGTAAAAGATTAACGAGAATTGGAAATACGAACATTTTGACCGAATTTTATTGTGAAAGGATTAAATCATTGCGTTAATTATCAATTCATCGTGCTATAAGCAACCTCAACAAATTTTCAAACTTTGTAGCAAAATTTCCTACGGCATATTTACCGAAAGAGTTTTTCCCCATTTCAAAACGAACACTCGGCGCACACCATGTCACTCGTATTCACGTACAGTCTTTCGATAACCACACTAAATGCCAAGTAAATATCGAATAATGAATAATCTATGACCTCGGACGTTTAATCTCAATGTTAAACTGCAATTAAATATTGAACGACGTGCATTACGGTTTATGTATGTAAAAATCAACAGCGTTGGCCGCTCGTGTTTCTATATGTATTTGTATTGCCGCTGAACGATTACAGAAGCAGTATAAATTTTTATTTTCATGCCGTCGAATATATATTTTTTAAAGTTAGTATCGACACAAAAAAATCCTCCCTATGGCATTCTCCCTTTAAAATAACAGAGGCAAAGGTGTAAGAACGGTGGAGAGAAAGAGGGTTATAAAAAAGGAAACGAGCGAATCATAGATGCGAGACCCGTGGACGCGTCGTCGATCTGATACGCTATGATGATGTAACGAATCAACCGAATATAAATTCACGCTTGCCGTGTAGCCAAGTCCGAGCAACCATACGTGATATAAACGTTGATTCCCTCATACACGGTTCTTGCACACGTAAATCTCACGATTTACGAGCACACAGTTGCAAACGTTCAGGAAAAAGATGGTCAAAGTGACTCGTTCGGCATACTGACGCGTTATTCACACGAGCTATCGACGCTGATCGCGTTCCCGCGTCTTCCTTTTCATTCGAAAATTGGAAAATATGATTCCCCCTCTGTGCGTCGTGAAAAGAATTCAAATACCTTTGCCAGAACACAAAAGGATAATAACAATAATAACGATTAGTGCTTTCTTTTAGAGTAAAAAGCAAAAGGAGAGAAATGACATGACGACAGTGATAAAATTTTAGAAGCTCAGTTCATAAGTATTAGGACACTTATTGAATGAAAATGATGTAGTCTGGAATCTCATTGCATAAAATGTAGCATAAAAATATCTATACTATAATCTGGGCAATATTTAAGTGAAAATAATGATCTTGATCTTTCTCAGACGATGAGAATTCGTCGGTGCATGGGATCGTGACAGAGGAGGGTCTGTTCGATGGAACAATCTTCACGGTGTCTGACGAGATCTACATCGAACCAGCGAGCAGATACTCTCCCCTGGTATGCCATCGGCAAGATGGCGAGGATAAAGACACGACAGACGCCGTGCATCACCATACGATCGCGTATCGCTCCGCGGACGTGAGCGTTCCCCGTCACAATGGGTATCCCTGCGCGAGCGAGCTTTTGCGGGAGAACACGTTAAATGAATTAAGGTAAACACCCGTTGAACCTCTGCTTGCTTTTAAACTAATTATTCACGTACAATGGGAAAGCATGGGAAACCTGCGAACACCGAAAACACATTAATTACGTTTCCTTTTCTTTTCTTTTTCCAACGAAAGAAACCTCCAAACAAAACAGGTAGAAAAGTTCGAAAAATATACACATCCGTTATTGCACATAAAGAACTGTTAATTAAACTTATTTAGAAAGGTAAGCGTTCGAGTAAAATATATATTCGACATTTTTGTTAAAGAAAATACTTTTAATACAGTTTGGGGCTACATGTCAATACACATCGCTATTAAATCTACTAAAAATTTTTATAAATTCGCAGTTAATGCCTCAGAGATAGGAACAGTAGATTTTGGTAATAAAAAATTCATTAAAAGTTTCTTCAAGTTCTAACCTTTCTCGTGATAGTAATCTCGAACTTTTAGCCGTCAGTGTATAAGTTTCCTGAAAGTTTTTTCAAAGATTCAGCAC